GTTGTTCTGGATAAAGATATCATGTTTGTTCTCAATATAAATAAAATAGTTTATTTCATTAAATATTTTGAATATTTAAAGTATTTAATAAAGTTTAATATTTTAAATGTTAAATATTTTTTCCATCATTTCTCTTCAAATTTGTTTGCACTCAAATATTTAAAACCAATAATAAAGTGCAAAGCAAACAGGCATAATAAAATGATGGAATTTTTATTTATTGACAAAGATTGGAAATATATGAAAAAGAAGACAAATAATTTAAGTTATTTTTTCTCTCTAGGTGTCTAATCATTATGAAGACCTTTTGGCTCAGGCTACTGGTATAGAAACACTGGAAGGTTAAAATTTGTTTTGGTATTAAAAAGAAGTATTTGAAAATTAATATCTAAATAAAACATTTATACAAAAATAATTGTAGTGTTAAAAAAATGCTTACTAAAATCATATCTAGATTGTTTATTGCAACATTTACCATAACGCTTACTGCACTATTTATGCAATCTTTACTTCAACAATTACTGCAATGTTTACCAATGTTTTTACTGCATTTATAATATTTTTATATAAGTAAAAGTTAGCAAATCATTTAATTTATAGCATGTATACATAATTTTCAGTGTATTTTAGGTGGTCTTCAATCTATTCAATCTAAAATTTTATCATTGGTTAAATCAGTTGAGAGGTCACTTTGATATGATTTTTAATTTTGGATAATATTGTTGTTATAAATTCAACTTACCTATAATAATATAATTTGGTTAAATATTTATAAAGTAAAATATTTAGAGCATGAAATATTTATAACATTAAATAATTATAACATGTAATATTTTAAAATCAAGTACAGATGATATTAATGATTTCTTATTGTTTTTTTTTTAATTTAGTACACCATGTTCTGAGTGAAATAACTTAATAAATAAACTTTTTTTTAACAGAATTAAAAGTCAAGTTAGTGAACCTTATAACAGAATTGCATCTCGAACACGACAACTAAGAAGATTGCAGGTTCTTTATTTTAATTTTTTTATTGTAAGTTTAATTTGACCTGAAAATAAACAGAAAAATATTTTTAAAACTAGATTTTTTTTAAGGTTCAGCTTCTGTTAGGTTTTTTTCAGAAGAGGGATTCATCCTGCAAAATTTAAGATTTATAGAAAGAGGAAATCATCCTGTAAAGTTTAAAATTTATTAGAAGAAGAAATCACCCTGAAAAGTTTAAAGTTTTAAAGTTAAAGGCATTGTAGAATTTAAGCATTAACTTCTTAAAATCAAAAGTAATGATTTTTAATTAGTATTAAAAGAATTTCTGATATTTATTGATATTTTATTTAAACTAATATCAGCATTATCAAATATCATAATATTAACTGCTGAGTCTTGTTAGATTTTGTTAAAAGAAAATATTCTTACATAGAAAGTACCTTTTTGTTTAGGTTTTTAAAAGTATTGTTTTATTAGTTATTGTTATATAATAATTAATAAAACAATACTTTTAAAAACTCATCATGGGTATTAAAAATATTTTTAATACCCATGATTCATTTCTATATATATATATATATATATATATATATATATATATATATATATATATATATATATATATATATATATATATATATATATATATATATATATATATATATATATATATATATATATATATATATATATATATATATATATATATATATATATATATATATATATATATATATATATATATTAGTGATGTGCCGGGTACCCGGTTTGGACCCGGGTACCCGGCAATTCGGCTGTTTTACCGGGTACCCAGTATCGGCCACTTTGTTGCAGTACCCGGCACCAGGTATCTTTAAACTGATTTTTCCTTAAATTTAAACTTTAACCATTAAACTTCTTGATATAAGTCTAAAAATGTTATGTAGTGGATAACCACAAAGTTCTATTAACTTAAAAAAATCTCACTTAAAATATTTTTTAATACATTTTTGCAAAAAAATTTATACGGATACAAAAACTGTAACACTAAATGAAATAATTCGAGAATACGAATAAAAAGAATGGGAAAAAAAGTTTTAGAATAGCTTCTTTTTATTCTGTTAGAACACAAGATAATTTTTAGCAATTTAGTCTTAAATGAAACACTTATAATGCTTTCGAACGCTGATACCACTTTTCATTCGAATCAAGCAAAAATCAAGTAGAGATATAAGGTAAATATTATACACATTTTTTATATTTTAATTTCGATAATAATTATAACAAAATATTATTTAGGCTAGCTCCACCAGGAAAGAAAAATAATTTTAAACTAAATATAGTTATTAAAAAACTGTTGCACAACTTTTGAAAAAAGTTAGGCCCACAACTCAGGCCCTTTACCCTGCATTGCGGGGTTTTGCTAAATGGTACTTCCGCCACATAACTTTTGGTTAGTTAGCGTAAAAAGCGTATTTTGTAAGAATAGTCCAGCACTAGAGATTTCACAAGATTTTATTCCAACTTTTAAAAAATGGACTCGGTGCCGAGTACCCAAACTCGGACCCGATTTTTTCAGCCAGGTACCCGGAATCGGAGACTCGGCATAAACTGGTTACGGCACATCTCTAATATATATATATACATAGAAATGAATCATGGGTATTAAATATATATATATATATATATATATATATATATATATACATATATATATATATATATATATATTTATTTAATACCCATGATTCATTTCTATATATATATATATATATATATATATATATATATATATATATATATATATATATATATATATATATATATATATATATATATATATATATATATATATATATATATATGTATATATATTTATTTAATACCCATGATTCATTTCTATAAATATATATATATATATATATATATATATATATATATATATATATATATATATATATATTTATATATATATATGTAGTTTTTTATATATGTAGTTTTTTCAATGGCTTTGAAAAAAGAGTTAGTATCAGTCTATCAATATAAAATTTTTAAAAATTCCAAATTAGTATCAATAATTTTTGAGACACACGGTTTATAGTAAAAAAAAACAATAACAAATTTTTTTACTGATATTGTTTTGTTGAGCATTACCAGGTACTTGATAGGAATTGACTTTAGAATCTCATGCTTATGAAGTGATAGCTTTGTGAGCAAGTAATATATTTAGAATAGCAGTAAAATTGTTTATTTTAAGGATAAAAAAATTTTAACTATAAAGCTATTGCAATCATAAGTCTATTTTTTTTAGACCACTTGTGATTATTTGCGACAAATATTAAGGATTATTCAACTCAATAAGCGTTTACAGTCACAACTTGCTGCCGGAGCAAGAGAAATTACCAAGGCTGCACAAAGTCTTAATGAGCTGGGTACATTATGTTAACTTTATGTTAATTTTATTTTTATTTTTTATAAACATGTTTTTTCTGCTAAAATTTGATAATTTATAAAACTTAATTAGACAGCAATTGTATTAGATAACTTGCCAAAATGATTATTAAAGGAACTATTATATTGAAATATAGTTTTATGATTCTGAGCACAATTTTTATTGTTTCGATTCTGAGAGCCATTTTTAACAATTACTAAGTTACATTATTGTAGATGATTCAATTATAAGTTTATATTAAAATCTTCTGGCTTGATGACAGCATGGTCCATGCTCTGCACAGATTTGTTGTGAAACAAGGTTTGTTAAAAGATATAATAAAAAAACCACTATAAGAAACTAACTTAACATTTTTTAAGGAGAATGAAATTCATGGAATAAAGCTGTTCTATCATTCAACAGGAATATTTCAATACAAAAAAAAATTTATAGTTTTCTTAAAAATTATACCTTACCTATTACTATAATAAACATTATCCTTGAATAAAATTAGTTATTTGTTTAATTGCTATTCATTAAATTGATTATTGCTACAGTTTGTTTAAAAATATTAATGATTGTAAAAAATTTTTAAAAAAACTTAGTTAATAAATCTTTTTGTCTTTTATGACATTGAGTTTGACCAAGATTTTTATGACATTGAGTTTGACCAATACTTTTATGACATTGAGTTAGACCAACACTTTTATGACATTGAGTTTGATATACCAACACTTTTATGACATTGAGTTTGACCAACACTTTTATGACATTGAGTTTGACCAACAATTTTATGAAATTGAGTTTGACCAACACTTTTATGACATTGAGTTTGACCAACACTTTTATGACATTGAGTTTGACCAACACTTTTATGACATTGAGTTTGACCAACACTTTTATGACATTGAGTAAAAAAATAGTGAAAATCGGTTTTTATGTTTGCATTGTTGAATGATGACCTGAACCTTGAGGGCTGTACTAGTAAGTACATGGCATTGTAAAAAACAAATAATAACATATTTGTTTTCAATGCATTTAATCTGTAAAAATTGTTAATTTTTACAAATTAAAATTCAAGATTTCTTATTGGAAATCAATGAAAGTTTGAAGAAAGTTAAATAAAAATATTTGGTTAGTTATTAATGATGGTCATTCTTACTAAAACTAGAAACTCTCCCACATAATAGTATATTCACATACCACAAGCCAAAACAAATTAAAAAAAGCATATTTAATACATCTTCATACATGTATGAGACAATCTGATTTTTAAAACTTTTTTTATTGATGTCATATATTATAGACCTAAGATTAAAAAACAAGACTAATCATTACTTATCAAGACTAATCAGTACTAATCGAGACTAATCAGTAAAGAAAAACAAAACAAAAAGAAACTAATAGGGATGGGAGTTAAGGTTAGTTTTAGTCTAACTAAAAATACTTAACTAAATTTTTAGTCTAACTAAAATTAGTCGACTAACTTTTTAGTTAACTAAAGCTAGTGGACTAACTTTTTAGTTAACTAAAATTAGTCGACTAACTTTTTAGTTAACTAAAATTACCTAACTAACTTTCTAGCTAACTAAAATTACCGGACTAACTTTTTAGCTAACTAATATTACCCGACTAATCTTTTAGTTAACTAAAATTACCCAACTAACTTTTTAGTCTAACTAAAATTAGTCAACTAACTTTTTAGTTAACTCAAATTAGTTGACTAAATATTTAGTGTAACTAAATTTCGTCGACTAAAGCAAGATTTAGTGCTTGAAAAAAGAAATAATCTTTCGCATAAAAATTTTACACACGAGGAAACTTTATTAAGGCGATAAATATTATTTTATTGTAATTAAACATTTTACTAATTGTGAATCCTAGAGCCCAGTCGAACTAAACTGTTATTCAAAGAAAATGTTTTAAGAAAAATTCAATTATTTTTATTTTTTCCCAGCTCGAGACAACTGCCTATGAAGTTGTTGCAAAATAATGCCCTTTAGCCAGTTAAATCAAATTTGGTGCACTTATTGAACGTTTAATATGTATTAATATATAAGTTATTATAGTCCTATAGGTAGTGTGCAATAATAATTGCACATCAAAAATAATCTCCCCTGCCAGGCCGAACCGACTTGAGTATGGGGACCTTCCCAGGGTTACAACAATCTGTCAGTTTTGTTGGTAACTTGGAAAAATTGAGACTCGATCGGTTAAAACTGAAATTCGACTTTTAAATAAAAAAAAGCCCTACTTTGGTGAGATTTTTATGGTAAAAAAGTTTTTTTATTTGCACCCCCTCCCCCCTATGTCTTCGTTGTTTGGTACAGCCCTGTCCCCTGCCATATTTTAAGAATGGATTCAATCTCTAATTTTCACAACAAATCTATGGCTCTCCCTCCCCACCCCTTCAAATATCAACCTCTTCTAACTACTATTATAAAGCACAAGCACTACAGTTAGGCAGGCGAAAGTATTGACATAAACCCAAAAGGTAATCGTTAAATAAGTTATTATGAATATATTTATTGCTTTCAGAGTATAGTTGTTTGTCGGTTGGCGATACTTGCAAAATTTAAAAGGAAGATTGGTATTTGCATTTTAAAATGTAATTTCCGCAATATAAGCTGTTGAATACTTTATAAAATGTATTAAATAATACTGTTGAATGATGAAAACATTTTATTAAGTTTTATTATGCGGTCGCTTTTAAAACCAAGAAATTGTTTATGACATTTTAATTACTTGAAAAATGCAATATGTAGTTTTTAAGCGCCTTAAAATACGTGTAAAACCGTGTAAAACAATTATCAATTAAAATACGTGTAAAACAATTATCAATTAAAATGTGTAAAACAATTATCAATTAAAACTCTATAACTTTTTTATTATATTTATTTTTATATTTTTTCATTCGATAGATGTTAAAAAAATACTAAAGAATATATAAATAAATATTAAAAAAAAAATCAAACTATTAAAATAATAAAGGTAAAAAAAAAAGTTTGCGGTTTTAGTCAACATTATGATAAAACCGCACACTCAAGAACATTAAAATCACACATTAATTTTTTTAATTTTCATTTTTTTCTTTATCTTTTTTTTTAACACATTTTAAATTTGAAAAACAATATTAATTTTTTACATTTTTGTAATAAAAAAAAATCAGTTTCACTTAAAAGCAGGGTTGCCATCTGGTGTTTTTTTAAGCCAGATTTCTCAAATCTGGTTTGTTTTTTTATCGTTTGGCTTGGAATTTTTATTTTGGTTTATTTTAGAAAATCTGGCTTAAATCTGGTTTATTTTAAAGTCTTTGGTCTTTTTTTGTTTGCTCTGGTATGTTTTTCAAAATCTGATTTAATTCTGGTTTATTTAATAATAAATCAGTTTAATCAAGTTTTTATTTCATGAAAAACGTTAATTTGAGGGGAAGAAAGATTTCCATTTTTTCGTTTTATAGAATAACAATCAATTTAATAATATTTATTTAAGAACAATAAAATGTATTAAAAAATATTTATTACAAGAAAAAACTTCAGTATTAAATTTAATGAATTTTAACTAAATTAAAAAATTCTAAATTTTCGTACAAAAACATCAACATTTGATAACATTCAGTTGTCATTCTGTTTCGCTTTTCATACAAAGTGTTTAATGCGCTAGAGAAAAGGCGTTCACTTGGTGCGCTGGTAGCAGGCATACATAAAATCATTGTTGAAATAAAATACAATATTGGAAACATGTTAATTTTGATGCCAAAAGTGTAAAAACATTTTTCTCATTTACTGACAATTTTATATAACCACTAATTTCTTTTTTTAAATCTAAATTTATTATTTTGTCACTATCGTTTCCGGAATCATCATCTTCATCGTGAAATGATAACTTGAATTTTTTTGATTTGATTGTCACCTTTTAAACTGGAATTATATCACTAACTTTTTTTGTCAAATGAAATTCTTGAAACGCATTAAAATTTCTTTTTTTTTTTTCGTACTTTTCAGGGAATTGAAAACTTTTATAATTTGGATCCAAAAAAGTGGCACATAATACAACCGAATTATTGTAATATATTGTAGCTTACAGGGCCGGCACAAGTAGGTAACACGTAGAAAGCGCTGTTCAAATTTAACTGACTAGAAAAAGGAAAAAAAAATTCTTGTTTTTTTAAATTTACCAAGTGACTGTTCTGAAAATATACATTTGCCGACATACTTATCTAAAAGAGTAAAATTGGCTTACTAAATGAGCTTAAAGCTCATTGATGGGATGTCACACACAAAACAAACCAACCTATCCTCTCACCCCTTTGCGCTGGCCTTGGTAGCTTATTCAGTTCTAAAGATATTTGTGTTTTACCATGTTTACTTTTTGGATTTTTTATGAAATATTTTCTTGAGGTATCTTGTTAAACCTTTGGCACTGAAAATTGAAAGAAAATTATTTTGATATTTTTTTATTTTTGCGGTATTATACGGTAAAATGATTATGCATTCGCAATCTTATTCAAAAATTCTAATAGAAATGATATCATGAACCCAAATTATTTATATTATATATTTATAAATTTCTTTAGTTAAACTAAAAAAAAGGTTGAGTATATTTAGATAACAAAAAACTTAGTCGGTTAATTTTAGTTAACTAAAAAGTTAGTTGACTAATTTTAGTTAGACTAAAAAGTTAGTCTGGTAATTTTATTTAACTAAAAACTTAGTCGGATAATTTTAGTTAGCTAAAAAGTTAGTCGGGTAATTTTAGTTAACTAGAAAGTTAGTCGACTAATTTTAGTTTACTAAAAAGGTAGTCGGCTAATTTTAGTTAACTAAAAAGTAAGTCGACTGATTTTAGTTAACTAAAAAGTTAGTCGACTAATTTAAGTTACGGTTTTTTTAGTTTAGTTAGTTACAATTTTTAGTTTTGGTCGCAACACTGGAAACTAAAAAGAGTTTTTCCGAAGGAGCAGAGAGAGAAGAGAGGCAGTTTTTCCAATAGTAAAAGTACACATTTGACTACAATTAGATATGTTACAATCTTGGTAGGAAAGAAGGGACATTTTCAACAGGGTTACAAGGTCATAGATTTTTTTCTGAAGAATTAGCCAGAAAAGATTGTTTGTTCAAAAATAATCCTTTGTATATTTTTTATCTAGATAAAAATTGAAAAAGTTTTATGAGTTGTGTTATAACGCTACACTCAATATTATTACAAGTTAAACATAGGTAGATATGCGGTAGTGGTGTAGTGGTAGAGCGCTCGCTTCATAAACGAGTGGTTCCGAGTTCGACCCCACCACGTCCCTGGTAGTACCGCGCTCAACTCGTTTCTCCGCGCAGCGGCCTTGTTCGTCAAGGTTCGTGTTTCGGAGTTATAGAGTTGAGAGAGGGTTATAGCCACAAATAAGTAGCCTCCTCGTCTGTAGTGGCCTTCTCGGCCTTGAGGAGGTGAATTAAAATAATAAAAAAAAAAAAAAAAACATGATAATTAGTAATTAACCCTGTCTTGCATTTTAACGAATCTTCTGAACTGATTATTCATAATGATGAATTTACCAGAAGAGGTGTTAAATGCTTACAAAGTTTTTTCATTATTTTTTTTATTTTTTTCTTTATTTTGCCAAAAAAACCATTTGGAATTTAGTTGAAAAAAAAAGTCAGCAAATATATCTATATACACTACAGAATAAAGTTTTCCCAAAAAATAACTTTAGTACCAACAAGGCTGCAAGCAACTGCTACTTAAGCAGAGAAGAAAGTTAAACTTGTAAGTTGCAAGAAAAACATGAAGATAGAGAAGAACTATATAAAAGAGATTAAGATGCCTGTTTTGGGTATTTTAAGTAATAATCAAAAAGAAAATAAATTTAGGATTAAGTAACCCTGTTACTTAACTCTGTTACTTTATCCTAAAAACTAATATCCTGTAATGTTGCCCTCTTAAATATCCTGTAATGTTGCCCTCTTAAATAATTTTTAACCAAAATAATTTGGAAATTTTCGAGTAAGTTTGTAACAAGTGTTTCATATTATTTTTTTAGATTATGTATTGGAAGGAAATGATTTGAGTGGAATTGAGGTTAAAAAGTTATAGTGACTTAAATTATAGTTTTTATTGAAACTGTTTTGATAAATAGTTTAAATGTATAAATAATATAATAAATATTGTTAAATATATTAAATAATATGCATAATATTTGAAAAATAATAATATAGTTATAAATATCATCAAATACATAATAATAATATAGTTATAAATATCATTAAATACATAATTAGACATGCTTCTTCTAAGTGATATTTTAAATTTTTTATATATGTCTTTTTTTTTTACAATTTTTTTTTTAATAATAAAAATGACAAAATAAATATTACATTTTATTTTAACTCCTCTATATATAAACACCTTTGTGAGATTTATAAAACAATTTTAGTGAAACATTTTAAAAAATTGTTAACTAAAAATGTCTTTGCTAGTAAAAAAAGAAACAGACTTTAAAAAAAAAAAAAAAAAAAGGGGGGGGGGAAGGGGGAGTTATTGGTTCAGCCAATTACACTCACCCAGTTTTATGCACAGGTCCTGAAATATAAAGTGTCAAAACTTGTTCTTTTACTTTTTTTAAAAGTTTTTAAAAACTAAGTTATTTTAAAATACTTTTTTTTTTTAAAGCTCATTACAGAAGATATTAAACAAATCAAGGAAGCAAGACTCAGTGTTGAAAACCAAGCCCTCAATATGTTTGAACAAGGGCTTAACACTCAAGTAATAATTCTAATAATCACATTGTCTAATGTAGTAAGATAATACTACATTTTTAAGTATTATAGCATTACAAATTTTTTTGTTAATATACTAATCAAGTTATAACATAAGCATATATACTAAATCATTTGTTTAATTATGTCATTGTATCTAATGCTTTCTCTTTTTATTATTTTCACTTTTTATTATTTTATATGTATATAATATCTTATATGCTTAATATATATCTTATATGCTTTACATATTACTTGCCTTAATTATGTTATTATTTTCAACAAAATTATATATTTAGTTGTGTTTAGTTCTTTACTTACTGTATTATACTTAATTCTGTTATTATATTTAATTAATGCATTAATTATGTCATAATTAAATGTGATAATTTAATTGTATTTAAATATGTTGTTATATTTAATTATGACATTATGTTTAATGATGTTGTTATGTTTAACTTTGACATATTTAGATTTGCTTTCATATTTGATTATAACATTAAGTTTAACTTATTGTTATAATCATTGTTTATTTAGCACAACAAAAGTTTGTACTAAATAAACAATTTATTTAGTTAAAAATTTTTTGATTTTGCAGAACCAACCTATGATTGCAACATCTTTACAAGTCTTTTACAATCTTGGATCATTAAGTACTCAAGTAAATAAAGTGCTCAAACAGTTGGCCAATGAAACTAAAAATTGTATAAATAGAGCTGTTGATATTCCTGTTTCAGGTTTGTTTTTTAATACTTTTTGAAACATTGTTAATTGTAAAAATTTCCACCAAAATTTTTTTTTAGTTTCCTAATGTTTTAAGGTTTAATTATAAATTATTTCTAGTTTAATATCTTTAATAAACCATTAGATTATTGAATTTAGCTGTCCAAAATAGATCCAACTTAGGTGGAAGCACACTTGCAGTTACTGCTTTCTGGGAAAAATTTGAGAACCTTCTTAAGAAATTGCATGAGTTTTGTCAAAAAGTACTTTTTGTTGCTGTTGTTATTGCGTTAATTTATTTCTAATAAATAAAAATTATAAAAATTTAATAATCATTGCTTTGAAAATGATGATTATTTGATAATAGTTGTAAATTTTAATATACTTTACTAATATATGTTTAAATATACTAATATATGTTGATATATGTTAAAATAATAACAGGTGTATTTGTTGGAAAAAGTTTTATCAAAAAAGAGGGATCCTATCAGTCACACTTGCTTTATAGAAGTTTTTAGTGAGGTAATGCATGTCCATTATACGCTATTTAATTAAATGAATTTTTCCAGTTCAGTAGTACTACATAAATGGTTTAACCTTTTTTCCCCATTATGACAATAACACAGCTATGTTAATATCCTAACCATGCTAACATCTTCATGTCACTAATCAAGCAACAAAAAAATCTATTTAATATTAAAAGCTTTACTATTTTACCATCCACAAATGATTTAAAAAAAATCAAATCTGTATCAACAGATTTGATTTTATACCATGCAGTAGAATACATTAAATACCTATATAGGTCTTAAACACCTATATAGGTCTTAAATACCTATTATTAAATACCCATAGGTCTTAGATATATATATAGGTTTTAGATGTCTATATAGGTATTAAATATCTATGTAGGTATTTAACATCCATATAGATATTAAATGTATTGCAAATTTTAGTTTGTGTAGCTGTTGATGCAGATTTTATTTTTTTTAAATCATTTGTGGTAAAATTGAAAAACTTTTAATATTAAATAGATTTTTTTGTATTTATACCTTTATAGATATTTAATATCTATATAGGTATTCAATACCTATATAGGTATTAAATACCTAAATAGTTATTGAATACTTATATAGATATTAAATATCTATATAGGTATTAAATGTAGATTAATCAATCAACTGAGAGTTAGTATATTAAACATTTATTCTAGGAAGGCAATAGTACTGTTTTTAATCACTTTTGGAATGAAGTGTGCAGTCTACTGAGATCTAATTTGGATCATGCTGTCCAAGGTTAGTTTTTTATTCAAGAAAAAATTTTATATTGAGTAAGAACTCAGCTATAAAAAAAATCTTTATAATATTATATAAAAAAGTTTATTAGAATATAAAAAAATTTTTTTTATATTCTAATAAACTCTCAAATTATTCTTTGTCATTATTAATAAAAGCTGTTTCAAAAATGTTTAAAAAAGCAGTGAAACTTTGTTTATAATTAAGGCAGTATTATTAGCATTTGTTTCAGTTTCAACATTTTAGGTCTTATTAGGTCTTCTTGGGGCACCTAAAACAATAATATGTTTTGTGCTTGTATCCTGTTATTTACTTTTAAGTTGCTTTTTAAACTCTTGATACATTTTTTTCCTCGATTTTTTCTTAGTACATTTTTTTCTTGATTTTTTCTTAGTACATTTTTTCCTTGAAAAAAGATATTTTTTGCACTTGGTGATATCAAATATTTTTTTAGTTAGAGTTCTTGTTGACTATATAGATCAATTAGGGTCAATAGGTTGTACAAACACAATATAGTTATTACAAAGTTGTAAGAACAGTTTAATTTCACTAGAAAGTTGTAAGAACTGGATAACACTATTTGAAAGTCATAAGAATAGAATAGAAAGTTTGAATAGTTTAAGAATAGAATAGAAAGTTATTTGACACCTGTGAAAGTTATTTGACACCTGTGAAAGTTATTTGACACTTGTGAAAGTTATTTGACACCTGTGAAAGTTATTTGACACCTTTGAAATTATTGATATTGAATTATTAATTTTGAATTATTGATATTGTTAACTCAAAAACAAAAAAAGCAAACAAAAAAAGCTGGACCTCACTACAGAAAAGCGAAACACCCACACCTCTCCCAAATTTAAACAACACAAAGAATTTAAAAAAAAATGTGGATATAGAGACAAATATACACAAAAGATGTACCAATAAATATAGTAAATATAAGCAATAGTATATAGTTTAAATATGCACACATTAAGATGTCAGGATCATATAATAAAATATTATTCACTATATAATAAATAAAGAAAACAAAGAGATAGGAAAGTATCTTACTATAGTTGATAAACTATACAAATTTTAAGGTGAAAAACTAAATATGGTAGCTACGAGAGATGAAACTAAAAACAAAATGGCTGTCAAAAAAAAACAGTAAGATATTTATTAAAGATATTACAGTGCTTATAATAACAAAGTGACTTAATGATGTCAGACAAATTAAAAAATCTTAGCAACTCTATTGGTTAGAAACACTTTTAAGGGAATTATAATTGTTTTTGCTATTTATAAAACTCTAATCCTATTAAAATAACCAGATAATTCAATTGGAGTATAGTGTTAAGGTCATTGTTATTAGCAGTATAAGGTTAAGCTTATTAAATGGTCATAACATGCTCATGGGATATGTCTACCGTTATGTCTAGTAAAATGTAACTAAAAATATCATGTAAGTTATAAAAGTAGAAAAATAGATACGAATGTGTGTCAAGCGCAAAAGATAATGATGTATTAAACAGGCTAATCTAGTAATTTATTTTAACATCAAATAACTAAAAATTTTAATATATAGTTGTAACTTTGTATGTATATACTATTCATGCTAATAATATGCCGATAGTTCGCAGCAATGTTATTGATATCTCACCCAATATCACAATTATGAGTCACTATGGGTATTATATCTACATCTATAATTGTAGGGGATTTATTAATTAGTTGTGTTTGACTAAATTGCAAAGTTCTAATAAATAGTAAATTAATATCTTTTACTGCATAACCTCTCAACACAAAGGCTCATGCTAAAGCTAGCATTTCTATAGAAAATTTTTTTCGTTCTGATATAATTCTCACAAGGCGTAACTCTTGGCTCTATACAATGCTTTTTCTTTATGGTATAGGTGATTGGATTTGTGATGTGAAGGCTCATTGTATCTGTTGGCTTTCTTTATAAAGTAGATTGGATACATCCATTTCAAGTCCAAAAAATTATTTGAAGAATTAGATTCATTAAAAGTAAATTTAATAGTTAGTTGGATGCTATTCATGAAATTTAAAAATTGAATATATGAAAATTAAATCATATATGAAAATTGTAATTTTTCCATAGATCCATAGAACAAAAAAAAAGTATCATTAATGTAACGTCTTTAAAAATTTATAGAATTTAGATGGGGTTCTAATTTTATCATTTAATCTGCCCATAAGCATATGGCAGCACCATTTTTGTACCTATTGTTGTACCATCAATCTGTTGGTAGAGCTTATCAGGAAATTGGAGAATGCTATAAATGAAAGAATGGTTTCTTAAATTAAACTAATATAGGCTAAAGATGGAAATAATGATGATCTCTGATGTATTGGAATCTGTTTCATAGAATGATGGTTGCTTCAAATCATTCAAATTTCTCCACAGCTTCACTCAATTTATTAACATGGATTAATTTGCATAAGGTATAAATCAAATACTTTTGTTCAGAGTTATTTCAGTTTGTGCAAAATATAAATAACTACTGATTCTTGATAGTTAGGAATCATGTGTAAGTTGTTGTGTGTTATGTCAAGTCTAGTCCAATCAGAGGTCATTTACAAGAGTGAGTTGAAAACCAAATCAATGTGGGAAATGCCGGTCATATATCAATTGGATTTAACATCTATGTATAGAGAATCTCTAACATAATACGTCACCAGGGAATTAAATTTATTTCACCCGTGAATTGCAATTTATATATTTATACAAATATATTTAAATATATAAATAAATATATAAAAATATATTAAACCTGAATATATACTTATGTTTATTTTTTTTAGTATTACAAATTTTTTTAAATATATAAAATTATATATAAATGTTTTATTATATTTACTTTAGTATTTAGTTGCAAAATAGAAGTTAAACAGTTTTAATCATTTATAATAAATATTGAATAATAAATTTTATAAATAAATAAAATTTAATTATTAAAATGATGTTGATTGAAAATTTTGGTACAAAAATTAATAAATACATAAAAGACTGAGATAGAGTTCATAAAAATGCTTTATTTTAAACTTAACTAAACTTTTGTTTTTCTAACTTATTTTCTTTTTCTTATATATTCTTATATATTTTTATAATATGGGTTATTATTTCTAATATTATAGATTACTGATCTACAATGATATTATTCTTATACATTTTAGGTTCAAAATACCTTCAAAATTTGTTTGAAGGCGAGTACCCTAAACTCTTACGCTTGTTTAATGACTTTTGGTTGAATGTGACAAGCTTTATAGATAATAACAAGGCCACAGGAAATATTGGTTTTAGATCAGAAATAAATATTGGCTTTTTTTCTAGCACAAGGTATAAATTATTAAGTTTAAATTTTAAAAAAATTAACGATAAAAAATTATAGATTTATATATATTTTTTAACTTTTAGTCCACTAGAATCATTAAAATCTTGTTTGCAACCTTTTGAGAAGACTTATTTATCTCGCTCTTTATCGCGGTTGTTTGATCCTATTAACTTGGTGTTCCCCAGTGGTTCAACATCAGTTCCTACAAAAGATGACCTAACTGTTATAATAAAAACAATAAATAGGTAAACAAAGTTGTTTTTGTACATATGTATTTATTTATATTTGTTTAGCCCAATTCTGAGTCAGTAAATTATAAATAAAGACTTGTTAAATGCTGCTTTTTTGTACATTGTATTAAAAATTTTAGAAAGAGTCTTCTTGAAGGCATTAAAATACTTTTGAGATATTTTTAAAAATATGCTTTATTTACTGTCACATTTTTATAATTTACCTCAAAAACTAAATACTTTTTAGATATTAAAAACTAAATACGTAAGTGTACCAAAAATCTTTTTGGTATTATCTAAAAACTATATTAAAATTTCCTTTTTTCAGATTTGAAGTAATTTCTTCATAATGAGCATTTTTTAATAAACTTATATTTTTGATTTAGTCTAAATTACTTTCAGATATTTTATAATATATTATATAAATAGATATAATATAATAATATATAGTTAAAAATTTCATTGTGCTTATGAAGTCATAATGCCTAAGTTAAGAGATATATCTTAAGTAAATTGTATTACTTTTTATGTTTTTTTTTAATGGTAAAATTTATTTTTAATTAACAGCTTGTTTTTTAATATAGTGAACTTAGTATTGCTGCAGTCGATGAGGTTTTTATGATCGAGGTAGCAAAAAATGTTGATGAAACTATCCAACTTTATGTGTCCAAATGTTCAGAGCTGGTGATTAATCTTATTTACATATTTATTTTCACATACATTAAAAATAAATATGTTTTTGAGTGGTTTCAATTTCTTAAAAACTTATATTTATGTCAAGTTATGTTTATTTTAATGAAATATTTTATGTTATGACAACAGCTTAATCCTTTTTTGTACCCAAAATCTTGTTTATAGTTAGTTACCACAACTGATGCTGGTCAACTAAGCGGCGGGTTAACTAGTTCACAGTTACGAAATGTATCCATTGTTAATTCATTGCATCTCTTGCATTCTGGAATTTCTGAGGTATTAAAAAATGATATTACTAGTTTAATAATCCAGTATTTTGGGCCTTCTTGTAGTGTATAATAAGTAGACACAATTTAAAAAATTTGATGTATAAATCTTTAAATAGATTTTATTTCTATAAAAACATACACCTAGTACTTAAACCCCTTTAACTCAAACTTATACAGTCTCTTTTCAAAATATTATCATTTTATGTATAGAATTGTAATTTTATGTGGTTAAAAAACAACAACATTTTATAAGTAAATTATTTTAGTGCTTCTAGTTTTTAGTATTTGTTTATAAATTTTTTTATTTCAAAAAATTACATCAACAAAAGTTGAAGTGATAAAAAATGGTAGGGCGACTTTGTTCTTTTTTTTTTGTACTTCTCTTTTACAGAAGGCTCAACTTGTTTTTGTCTTTTTGTTGCCAAGAGTTAAGAAATGAGCAGCTTTAGCACAGTGGTTAGTGCGCTTGCCTCAGAAGCTAGAGGATCCATGGTTCAATGCTACCTCTGGGCCAGTTTTATAATATCAGTAAGGAAGGAAGCGTGAACTTCTTTTCAAATGCTTAGAAATGTGTAAATTTTTTTCAAAACATAATACATATTAGAAAAGAGTATTAAATTTCTAACAAAACAGGTAGTATATAAACTTGCGAGTTTTGTTTAAGTTTTAAAATTTTCACAGATTTTTACTTTATTTCATTTTGTGAAAAAAGAAAATTAAGATTTAGTTTGAGGTTTTTTTGAAAATAGAAAAACTAAAAAGGAAACATTTACCACAAACTTTTATAAGAACTGTCAAAAATTGGC